GCCGCCGTCGCCGCCGCGCCGCCGCAGAGCTCCGAGGCCAACTCCCCGCCGTGGCGCGCCCACTCCTCGGCCGGCGGCACAGCAGGCTGCAGCCGCGAGAACAGCGGGCCGCGCTGCGCGTAGGACAGGCAGGCGCTCGCCCGCATATGTGTATTTGTGACCCGTGTGCGGGGTAACCCGCGCACCGGGGAAGCTTCACGGGTTCGAGTCGCCAAACATTGAGCAGCGGAGGTGTGCCGAGGGGGACCGGGAGGCGGTAAGCCGTCGTCGCCCGGCGCTGCATGCAGCACCGTGGCGATGGCGCTAAGAGGTTCCTCTTTTTCGCGCCCCCCCCGCAAGGCGCGCGATACACAAAGGCCCAGAGAGAACACAAAAAGCATCAGTGTGTGTGTGTGGTCGTATCAAGAATACTCACTCACTCACAAAAAGCATCATAGGCAAAGGATCTCTGGGCGGGGGTACAACGAAGGGGGAACAACCCACACCACACAAGACGCCAAAGCACAAAAGAATAACAAGAGAGAGATTTTTAGCAATACCAAACAACTCTAACTTTGTATTAACAAGACAGTGTACTCAGGCAGTCTCATGCGGAAGAGTCAGATATACAAAGGGCACCTAAAGGAGCAAGGCATACAGCTGTGAAGTGGTCTCTCCACTGACAGGTATCTAGCCTATAGTGTGTGTGTGTAGTTGTGTCACTCACTAGATACAGGCTGCACCGAATGTGTCTGACCCCAAGGCGCAAGGGCCACGGACGCCTGCTGAGGGGTGAGAGAGGGCTCTAGGGAAGGGTAGGCGGACGCGTCAATGCCCCCGGTAGCCCGAGATCGCTACGATGCATCGCCAAGCGAACGGGACGGCGCTCGGTAATTGGCAGACAAAGAACCTTCGTATACTCCGCCACATCGAAAGTGGAGCAAAAACTCAGCCTTGAGTTCTCAGCGCCCTCACGGCCCGCCGATGGCAAACCCGATTCCCTCCATCCGTGTGACGCCGCCCGATGGTGCCGGGAACCCTATTCCGGAGCGATTTTCCCTAGGGTTAGCGCCGAAAAAGCCGGGCCCTTTTAGCTCCCCTCCGGCTAGGGCTATTGGGCCTCCGCAGCCGACCACGAGGAAGGGCCGACTTCAAGGGTTAGTATAGCGGGCCGAGAAGGCCGCCCACACCCGCGAGGATGGTTGTGTGTTTGCCTCCCTGACTCGGACGGCCGCCTCAGAGGGCGGGCATGCGTCCTCTCGCCCTCTCACCCGCGGGAGATGGCCGAGTCCACGGAGCCGCACGCCAGCCGCACGCTGCCTCTCCTTGGACCACGCAAGGCTCCGACTTCTATAGAGAAAATCCCATCTGCACCAGCGTTTTAAAGTGCAAGATCGTCAAAAGACACACATACATACGATTCGTCACATGGCCTCATGCCCCGTACGGCTTTACGATCCACCGACGCGATACCCCGATAGCGATCCACGCCTTTAAAATTTGAACAAGCCGAATGCTCGAGGGCCCCTCGATATACTGTACAACACACCCACCGCCGCGCCCAGCGCAGCTGGCAGCTCACCGCATCCTTGTTGTCAGGGAAAGGTCGGCGGGGAGTGCGGCGGGGAGGGCGTCGGGGAGTGTGGCGTCGCTCCCTCGTCGAGCGGCCACGCCGGCTTCGCCTCGCGCGAGTCGCCCGCCGCCACGCCAAAGAGGGACCAGACAAACAGGCTGCCCTTGCGGCTCCCCACGTACAGCTCGCTCCGCGCCTCGGAGAAGGAAAGGGCGGTCACGTCGGCCAGCTCCGGGAGGGGCGCGCCTGGTACCACACCTCCGGAGTGTCGAGTCCAGTGAGGGTTCAGCTCCGTGGGTGGTGTGGTGGAGCGCCGGCAGCCAGCTTGGCGACACACTCGCCCGTGCGGAGGCTCGACACGTTGATCGTCCCTCCGGCGCGGCGGTCGGTGTTTGGCCTATCCCCGAGGTGACCCGAGATGACCCGAGATGACCCGAGATGGCCCGAGGTGACCCGAGATGACCCGAGATGGCCCGAGATGGCCCGAGGTGACCCGAGGTGACCCGAGATGACCCGAGATGGCCCGAGATGGCCCGAGGTGACCCGAGGTGACCCGAGGTGACCCGAGGTGACCCGAGGTGACCCGAGGTGACCCGAGATCACCCTCCGGCGCGGTGGTCGGTGTTTGGCCTCGCGCAGTACGCGAGCAAAGTCTGGGAGGTGTCTAGGAGGTGTCTAGGTCTAGGAAAGAGCCTCGCGCAATACGACAACACAACGTCCTGCGCCGTGGTGACGTAGAGGTTGGACATCGCGCTCTCGCCGTCGCACCACAGCGTGTGATCCTCCATGCCGAGCAGCCGGTCGCCTGGCGAGATCACCCGAGATCACCCGAGATCGCCCGAGATTTGCCCACACCATCCCGAGCAGCCGGTCGCCCTGCAAGCTGAAGACGGCGAGCGCCCGCCCGCTCACCGCGAGGAACAAGTTCCTCTCGTAGAGGTGCAGCGTCGATGACGGCGCCTGCAGCTGCCCCGCCGCCACCTAAAAGGCCGCGCGCGTGCGTGCGCGCGTCCTCGGCGAGTCTCGGCGAGTCTCGGGAGATCTCAATCTCGCGCCTGGAAGGTTGCGCGCGTGCGCACGTCGGTGATGCGGATCGGTCCTGTTCACAGCAACAAGTGAGAAGAGACGCTGTTCACAGCTAGACGGCGCGGTACGGGTCGGCCCACCTGTTCACAGCAACAGGTGAGAAGAGACGCTGTTCACAGCTGGACGGCGCGGCACGGGTCGGGCCACCTCCCTCTTGCTGCACGAGCAGCCGGTCGTCGAAGAGCTCGATCCTACGGGACATGTCTCGGAAGGGTCGTGGACGCGTCGTGCACGGGTCGCGGAGGGTCGCCGAAGGGCTCGATCCGGGACACGCGCGCGGCGCTGAGGGGATGCTCGAGGTCGTGCAGCGAGGTGCCTGTGACGGGTTCGAAAGGCTGAGAGTCCGGGGTGATTGATGACGGGCGATTCCGAGCCGAGCAGCGAGGTGCCGTCTGCAATGCTCAGGACTTGCACGCGCATCGCGTCCGCCTTTCGGCGGTGCACGACGAGGAGCGCGTTGCGCGCTGCCGCCTTGACCTCCGCGATCTCCGGGTCGCGCAGCCGGAATAGCAGCGAGAAGTTGGCCAGCTCCCAGATGCCGTACGTGCGGTCGGCGGCCGAGAAGGTGACTGCGCGGCAAGAGACCTCGTCGAACTCGACGAAACCGGGCCAGCGCAGCTCCTCCTGCTGGAAGATGGGCAGGCCCGCCTCCGGCTCGCCACGCCGCACCCACTCGACCAACGTCGATCGGCAGTGCAGCGAGGAGAAGTGGTCCGCGCGGTAGGTGGAGACGGTGACAAAGGAAGCGGAGCGCCGGTTGAAGAGGACGGACCGGACCATCTCGTCGGGCGTGACGTTGAGGAAAGCGACCCGCCTCCCGTCCTTGAAGGCGCACGCCACGCCCGATAGCGTCAGCGCCACCACGACGTCGTCGCTGCACACGATCTCGATCACCTTGGAGCGCCGCCGGAGTTGCGGAAGCCGGAAGAGGCGGAGCGCTTCGGGGTCGTGCATGTCGAACTCGCTCTCGACGCCAAAACAGGCCAGTGAGCCCCACGCCGCGGCGCCCGATGGCCCGGCCCGTGCTGGAGCAATCTCACGAGCGGCGAGTGCCTGCAAGATGGCGCCGCGCGAGCTGCCGCCCGGAGAGTGCCGCCGCCAGGCTTCGACGACAGATCGCTCGCGCTTTCGCGAGTGCATGAGGGCTCAGCGAGCGCACGACGCTGCCGATTTGCAGCTCGTGCACCGTCGCCCCGGCGCGAGAGAGGGCGAACGTGGCGGCCGGGCTGGAGAGCGGCTACCTGCCGTGGCCGACAGGAAAAGAGGTACCGGGTGGCGTACGGGGTAGTGTCTTTTTAAATCTCCAATGCTCCTGCAATCGTTCACGAATATCAGACGTTTACCAAAGGAAAAGGGACCAAGGAAAAGGGACCAAGGAAAAGGGAGCGGGAAAAGGGATTAAAAAAAGGGTCCAAGGAAAAGGGACCAAGGAAAAGGGATTGCAAGAGGGGATTAAAAAAAGAGAAAAAGGCCAGCAAGTAAAAGGGACCAAGGAAAAGGGACCGAAAAGGGACCGGGAAAAGGGATTAAAAAAGGGTCCAAGAAAAAGGGACCAAGGAAAAGGGATTGCAAAAGGGGATTAAAAAAGGAGAAAAAAAGGACAGCAAGTAAAAGGGACCAAGGAAAAGGGACCAAGGAAAAGGGATTGCAAAAGGGGATTAAAAAGTAAAAGGGACCAAGGAAAAGGGATTGCAAAAGGGGATTAAAAAAGGAGAAAAAAAAGGACAGCGAGTAAAAGGGACCACCGCAAAAGGGGATAAAAAAGAGAAAGTAAAAGCGAGAGAGAGGTCCGCGGAAGGATCGCCGAGAGAGAGAGAGAGAGAGAGAGAGAGAGAGAGAGAGAGAGGGAGAGAGAGAGGTCCATGGAAGGATCGCCGAGAGAGAGAGAGAGAGAGAGAGAGAGAGAGAGAGAGAGAGAGAGACGGAGAGAGAGGTCCATGGCAGGATCGCCGAGAGAGAGAGAGAGAGAGAGAGAGAGAGAGAGAGAGAGAGAGAGAGAGAGAGAGAGAGAGAGAGAGAGAGAGAGAGAGAGAGAGAGAGAGAGAGAGAGAGAGAGAGAGGTCCATGGAAGGATCGCCGAGAGAGAGAGAGAGAGAGAGAGAGAGAGAGAGAGAGAGAGAGAGAGAGAGAGAGAGAGACCAAGTGCTCTCACAGCCGACAGGCTCGACACAGGTGCGAACTGGCGCGTGCTAGTACTATCACAGGCACACCACCGGAGCCGCCTAAGCGACTCCGTTAAGAACGGCAATGCACTTAGCACTGTGCACAATGCCGCTGTCCCCGCACGCTAGCTCGTTCACCGTCTGCCACGCCACGGCGGTGTGGAGAACGACAAACAAGCGCTGCATCTGCAGCCCGTGCCAGTTCTTGGTGGTCCATGTGACCTCATCGAGGTGCTGAGCGTGCGAAAGTTTGTTACTCAGCTGGTCCGCCGCCTGCCGAAGAATTTTGCGGACGCCGTCCCCGAAGCCGCCGAACGTCTCGAAGTCGAGCAAACGCAGGTCGCA